ACCCCATTCGATATGTTATATATAATTACATTCTGATCTTCATATTCAGGATGTTTAATATATATTATTGAAATAAAGCTACGTAAACCTTATAAATATACATAAACCCAGCAATTGTCATACTGCTTTGGAATTAAAAGCAAAACCACAAACAAACCCTGTTTTCTACTCCATATGCCCAAATTGGTGTTATAAACTTACTGTCATCAACTCATATACAGATTTCTAAGAAAGCTGTAGTCAGATAGCCCTAAAATCTTGAAAAGGTGTTTTAAAGTTTAATGGAATGTGCAGACAAAATTGCAGTTCACTGACTTTTTACTCTTTTGGGTATATGTATCATTAGATCTGAAATCACAACAGCTGAGATGAATGTTTGCGTGTTTATAGGATTTTGATAACTGGTCTTACAGAACATAAGGCTCCTGGAGAGTAAGGATTGACATCAACAAGTCCTATTACATTTATCTTTATTGTTGTTACAGCAAAACATTGAAATAATTTGAAAATATTCTGATTTGCTCGTTAGCAATAGATATTTTATCTATTTTGTTTCTAATTTCTTATGCTCTATGTTTTCTGCATAAGTTGATTATTCTAATTCTTAAGCAGTGTTTCTTGTAAGAGGGTTTTCTCACACATTTCTAGTACACTACTTCTGACAAAAGAACCAGAGAGGAGGGTTATTCTACTCTGATGCTGTTAACAAAGCAAAATGTGATTTTAACCACAGACTCAAAAGAAAGATAATACCTTGTTCCAAGGCAAATGGACACCAGGGTGCAAAGTTGCAGGGTATATGGAAAAATACTGAAGAAAACCAAGCCCATTACGTCTCAGAGCTATTCTGTACTTTTCATCTGTTTTCATTCAGGTTTTTGTGAAACTGCCAAGACAGAAAAATGACTATCTATCTCTAAATTAAAACAACAGAAGAAATGATTCCTTCACTGAGGGACGGCTAGCTTTTTATATCCAAATTAGCAAACAAACTTTAAGTCTTAAGTGCCAAATTAACAACAGCAAAATTAACCGAATGAACAGACTTTCACCTCTTTCCTGAAGTTAGAGGTCTTCTTTAAGGTTCTCACTCAAATAAGAGTTTCTTAATTCTGTCAGTATTAGAGTTAGTCCATTTTGTCAGGACAAAGGTATATCCAGACGTCATTTGCACAAACATGTCTTTAAGTTCAATCTTCTGTTCAAGAACAGTATGCAAAACTTAAAGCACTAAAGCTCTCTCTGCTTGACTACCTTTCAAAACATATGGGAGAACAGAGCATAAAATTCAGTCTACCTTTTGGAGTTTTTTTAGTTGGTAAGATCCTCTTTGACCTGTCAAACTGATGCATACAAATTGATACATCATCTATGTGATTAGATATAATAAATAAAGCATATTGTATATACTAATGATAGAGTGACAGCATCCCAGATATATCTATTTATATTCTCTTTAGTTGTAGGAACTGAAAGTCAAATTTTCACTTGTTTTGATTTAAACTTTTTTTGGAAATTAACCTTATAGCTATAAATCACCACTGATTATTTAAATAGGGTCATTTGGGATGTGAAAATGTCTCTATAAGTTCATAAATTTTCTTGATAATTTTATGACTGTAGCTTTTATATTGTAATTCTGCCAATTCATGCATGTGGCATTATGTCATAAATTATCACATTTATTTTGGCATGACTTGGAGTATTCAACTCCAAGGAACACTGCCTCTACTGCTTAGATATGTACCCTACTGAAATACAGGATTTAAAATCCAAAATAAAGGAACACTCAGAAATAAATAAATGGTAGGTGATAAGGTCAATAATGAAGGTTGGGATTTTCCAGATGATTTGGGATATAACTCTAACTGAAAGACAAAAAAACCCCTAAATGCTCAGATGTTTGAAGGATTCTTCAAAGTTCAGCTTAGAGGAAAATTCCAGTGACAAGTTCTCCACCTCCCACGAAGACTTCTACTGACACAGATGTATAAAAAGCTAAGTATTAAGTGAAACACAAGCCTGAGAAAAATGAAGTAGTAACTCCTACTGTAATATTAACCTGGATAGATATCTTTCCCTGATAGAATCTACAATGTTTAAGATAAAATCTATAATATGTAAGCTATTAATATTTTGTGTCATATATGGGGGAAAAGTTGTTAGGCTTGATTATAAACCAGATGATATAAAAAATATTATGAACATACCACACTGATATCGAACATAATTAGTTCTGAGGCTTTCAGACTTGCACATATTTATGTTTTTACATCTGAGCACGTCCACTGAAATCAATCATATGTATCAAATAAAATTAAATCAATTTATACAGATTACACACCAAATCAAATTATGTCAGATTATTCACCAAGTGCCTAGGAAATAAAAACACCTTCTCCAACAAAAATGGTCCATTCAATACAAAATGACTGCGTATTTTTGGTATAATAGGCTGCAGCTTAATCATTTCAACCTTTAATTACTGCATTAGATAATGAATATTTTGCACATATGCTTCTCTGCTTGGCTTGAAGACATGAATGAAAGAGTTATCTGCATGCTCGTGCATGTGCATGTTGGGGGAGGGAGTCACGCGCGAAGCCATAAAAGGAACCAAGTGGCAACAATTGGAGGAAATGGTATCTGTGGCAGCTGCTCCGTTCAGATTCCCCTAGAAGGAGACTGCCTGAGGTGGCCCACAGCACAAAAGGATAAAGAAGATGAAAACTCTGATGCAAAGCAGGAAAATAACCACTGAGACCCCTGAGTCCGCACCCGAATGGGCCCAAGCTGTGTGGCAAGACCTCTTTAGCACGCTGCAGGAGCTGGTGATGAACTGCACATTAGCATGAGGCAAGCGGCTCCTGGCAGCAGCGTCTGCATGGTGTGTGTAATGATAACCAGCAGTCCCCCGGGAGCCGCATGCAATGATTTCATCTCCGTAAGCATCTGAGCTCCCCTTGGATACAGACACCATTAAACTGAGAACAGAAGGGTAAATTTTAGGCAATGATTTCTAATTGGAGAGTGAAGACAACTTGTGCTCAACAGCACTGTCAACCACTGATATTTTACTGCTGTCTATATTGATCACTATTAAGGATAAAAGGAAATGTACAATACATTTTCTGTATGAAAACACTTCACAGGTTTCCTAGGTAATGTTATATGAAATGTCATTATTCTAGGAATCCCTATTTATACTTCAAACTATTACTATTTTCTTTAATAAAATATTTTACACTCTAACATAAAGTAGATCATTTATGTTTTGTACTATAGAGACTTTCTTTCCTTCTTCATAAAAATACTCTTTGCTTTCCAAACCCACCATGTATTCTTGTAAGATTAAAGAAATAGGCACAAACTCTTACAGATATATTTTAAATTAGTAGAATTACTTTACAAAACTAAAGATTCCAGATTCTTCCTTAAAAAAAAATTCACGTGATAAAAAGCAGATGAACTTCTAAATGATCACTGCTACTTTTTTTTTCTTTCTGAAGAGGTGGGGGTGCAGAGAGGGGAGGAGAGGAAAAGGAGTAAAAATTAAAATCAAGCAAAATGAACCCTTAAGAAACAACATCAGGACACCTAATATTTTTGGCAGGGGCAAAGCTGGTTTGATCCTTTGTTTATCATACAGACTACACAGTGTTCTTGGTTTACAAATTTCTACTGTGATGCAGAGATCAATGGGCCAGCAGACACTTTATTTAGCTCATTATTTACTTTGCTGCTCTTCATTGTCCACACAGCTTATTGACTCTCAAAAACTTACTAGGAGAGGTTGATACAGTAGTTGAAATGCTTTCAACTTGTCAGTCAAAAAAACAAATGAAGATGTAGATGAATTTCAGCACAGGAAATTCTAGTCTAATCTGTCAAACTATTTTTGGAAGGGAGCAAATATCCTCTCTTTCACTGCTGCTTCAACCATCAGATAGAGTTTTATAAAATTATATGTGGCTTCTCATTTTGAAATACCTTCACATTAAGCTGCAGACTCTGACTGAAACTGATATGAGAGCAGGTTCTTTGGCTTTGCTGATACTAGAAGTACAGTCAAGAACTTCTGGAAAAAACTGCATCTCCAATCATTAATAGCATGCAACAGCGTATTTGAGGAGAGATGTGCAGCATCCATCCTATATTACAGAACACAAGTAAGCCATGGCGAAATCTTCATGCTCAATCCACTCTACGACTTCTAGTGTATGCCCAAATATATTCAAACAACTATTTTTCCAAAAACATTTCTAAACTGCTTCTGGAAGATCGTTCCCTTTCTGGTGGCCAGTACAGACAAATCAAATCGATACTAAGCTTCCCTCTCACACTGACCTACGATGGACTAGAGCAACGCTCTTCTGCACTTATCGCATGTAGAATTCTCACCTTCCTTAACTGTCATCTATGGGAAGTTCAAGGGAAGCGTGACAAGAAGAGCATGAATACAAGCATCCACAAGAGCTTGTTGACACCCATAGCAAATCACATTTCTTCCACATTCCTGATGTTTTGAAAAACATCACATGATAAAAAACAATAGCAAACGCACAACACACAGACTGACATACTTGTAGCTCTTTCTCACAAAGATCTCATATCAAACTAGTTTTCATACTTCCAAAAATTATGCCGTTGTTTACATTATGTATGAATATGTGTACACACTTATATATATTTATATAATGTGTGTTTGTATGTATGTATACAGGAAAAGAATGTTAGCCATGTGTAACTTAAGTTTCTACTTTATTTTATTTCTACAGATTCAAGGCTGGAAGCATGGACTCAGGGGACTTGGGGAAATTTCCCTAAATTCTGGAACTTTTAAAAACCATAATTTCTTAAACCACATGGATCTCTGTCGATGGAACTAGATAGAAGGTCTGTAAGCCAAATCTCTCTATACATTTTCCATTATCCGAAACTTCTAAGTAGAAGACACCAAGGAGCTAGAGGAAGACAAAGGAACTTTAAAATAAACTTACTGGTATTGCTGTCTGTTCTTCTCCAGCAAAATGATATGCTAAACCTAAGCAATAGGCAGCTTCTCCTTCCATCTGCATATCACCCCCTACAGAAAGGATTATAGTTACCAGTGTAGTCTGAACAAAATCACATTACTATGGATGGGTCAAGCAGGTATTTAAATAACATGCAGATATTTAAGTGTTATATAAGTTTTTCCTTTTTCTTATTCCTGCCATTTATTTATTTCCATAAATACTTGTTTTCTAAAAACAGAGGAAACTACAAAAAAGGTTATGAATTTAAAGTTCAACCAGAAAGTTAAACAAAGTTAGAAAAAATGTTTGGCTGTGATGCAGCACAGTCAATTTAATATGCTGTAAGGTTCTCTATCATGAATCGTTTAATAACACTGTCTTCACGTTTAAAAAGTCAAAATTCACATTAGAAAAGTCAGAGTAGAATCTCTTAATATAAGAAAGCTAAAAAGTACAATAATATTCTAATGTATATAAAATGATGATAAAGCACTATAATGTATGAACACAAAATATGTTGACCCAGATACTTTCCTAACCTGGGCAGAATCTTAGCAAGATCCTTACTAAGAGATAAGTACTAGCGGATTGGGCTCGAATAGCTAAGAGCTCAGGTAAATTACACTTGCAAGTAGCCCGTGCAAGTAGTCACAGAAAATTCCACACCAGCAGCTGCTAAGTGATCCTACATTTTTCAATGCAAAACTTTATTTCATTAACAACTGTTTTAACAAATACTGCTTACTGGTCTTTTTATATTGCTCCTTCAATAGAAAAACATCCATTCAATAGTGAAATATATACAAATTAATTTTAGAAATGCTTAATGTATCTCAGTATGTCAAAAATATCCTTGCAGAATGTGAGCATCAATAAAAAAGTAATTTGTAAGTAAAATTAAAGAATTGCAAAAAACCTCATATTTCCATTGCTCAATATCCATATGTTCAAAAACAAAGCAGAAAAGGAACTTGAAACATTACTATCAAGAAACTTTACTGAATATCAAGGTATCAAGTTTTCAAGCTCTTTGAGTAATAAAATCCCTGATGCCACTGAAATTCTCCATGTTGCATAAATCCTCCATGTGTTATATAAACACATGTGACTCAAAACCCTGATGTTTTTTTTCCACTATTTAAAATACCTCAAAAGGCTTAAGGAGGCAAAAGAATAGAGAAATACGGTTTCACTAAAGAAAAATATGAAAAAAGTTTCTGGGGATATATAAAAGCAAAAAATCCTTTTCCCTCCCCCAAGAATGGTCACGGTAAAGACTGAAGAATAGGTAATATCTAATCCTAATGCAGGGAATACTTAGACACAGATGCAGGTCCAGAAGGACATAATAGCTACTAAAGATGGTCGGGCAGAGCCTGTATGGGCTTAAAGATGCTTCTGAGACAGAGGCTGAAGGTCTTAAATTGGGACTATGAAAGGAGATCTGCAAAGCTTAAATGGCAACTGTGCTGTGCTTTGTTGTTTTACCTAACGCCTCAAGAAGCTATAGAAAATGATTTGAAGTAAAGGCACTGGGATATCTGCCTGGTCAAAGTAAGTTTTGGGAAGGCATCAGATTCATTTTGAAAATTTCATAAAATTTTCCCTCACTAGCAATAGGCAGAACTTGAAGGGAAGCTTCATGAGGGACGATGAAGCGGATGAAGGGGCTGGAGCACAGACCTTA